AAATAGGTGAGCCCTGTTCTGAAAAAAATTGTGACTCCGTACAAAAGGGCGACTGGGACCAAACTTAAGTGATGCCGATTGGAAACGAAAACACGCCTCGTATACTACAAAGCACAAACCTATCCACTAGTGAGGTGCACTTGCAGTGCAGACCAAACAACACAAATTACGACTATTATCGCATAAAGTGCTGGTTTTTTGCCTACGAAATGATTGCCGATGATAGCTATATTCTTTGATCGCTAGTAATTACAGCTATCACTTATCAGCTATCAAACGTCACTATTAATCAGCAATTATCAGAAAGCATTCAGCACTCCGTAGAGGCGTCGTCACTTGAGGTGCATGGTCTGCACTGCGTATGGAACCGGCTATCGGCTATGAAGGGTAACTAATACAGCGCAGTGGAGACTTATAAAACAAATCCATCATTGACAAAAATTAGCTGTTATAAAACCCATCAAAAGAAAATAAATATAAGAATAATTATAAAAAGAAGGAAAATATAATGCAATGGAATGTCTGCCGCCAACTTTGCGGAAACTATAAAATAGAATCGATTTTGCTGACCTTGATAGTATTGAAGAAGACATGAGGTTCTTGTCGGCTGCACGTTTTTTACTTTGAAGCGATCCAACATGACTCGCGTTCATCAGAAATAAGTACGAATTAACCGAGTAGGGTAGTATTGATTGACGAAGACGCTGTGATGATGGTCCACTGCAATAGTGATCAATGAATCATTGATTGATATGATTTGAATCTCAGTTCTTGAACGGAAGTGTCATTTCGGTGATGCCGAGCTGTGGGAAAATCGTTCGGACAAAACCCAAACTGGTGGTCTGCGGTCACAAAAAGCACGATAACCACGGGGTTGGATCCCGTCCGAGGTCGAACGTTTTGCTCACAACTCAGCAACCATGAGAAACTCAGCCAACACAGAAAAACAAAGGAAGTTGATTGAAAGTATCTCTGAATCAGTGAGCGAGTTTAGTGAAACGACAGAAACTACCTGGGCGATCTGGATAAACTCGAGCCGACCCCAGAATCCCGTCGATTGTGATTCATGGTTGTGGTACTGGATGACTGCTCTTCATCCGTGTTGTCCAGACTCGACTCACTCTGAATTAGTTAAAGTAAAATTCCACAGAAAGATAGTGTTTGATACCGTACCACCGTCCATTCCATTTGAAAGCACAGAACTGGGTTTTCAAGACATTCCATCGAGGCAGTGAACCAATATGAGAAAGTCTAAGAAATGGGTGCTCTATTCCAGCTTTTAGCCGCATGTATCTCCACGAGAGGCCATGACCCAGTTAGCGGGGATAAGGTTTGAAAAAAGACTCATTTCCGAACAGAGCATTAGAACCATAGTATGTAGCTACTTCCAGATGAAACGCTAATCTCACATAAAACCCCATAAAGATAATAAGGTGAGCTGAGGATCTACTACGTCTATCGGTACCGGGTACCGGACAAGAGGCCCGTCGCGCGGTGAGAAGGCAGAGTCAGCGAACGAGTCGCAGCGCGTGCTGTGCGATGTAGGACGTACAATGGTACATTCTATTTAACTTGACGCGACTACAGTACGCGCTGCGACTCGTCCGCTGACTCTTCTTGCCGCGCGACGGGCCTCCTGTCTGTCACCCATCGGTACCGGACACCAGCTATCGCGTGGCTTGTGGATTACAACTCGTTCTCTGTATGGTACAACGCACAACAACCCAATGCCGATAGGGAAACATTGGTTATGTCAGCCAGTTTCATTACTCACACCTACGGTACGGTAACCAGTAGAAAGACTATCCAATTGATACCTTAATCGCATGTGTGTCGACACGTAATTGTGGAACTCCGCTTGACGTCGAAGGTGACTCAGAACGAGGTGGACGTAGACGAGATAGTGATGCGTCCGGCGAGACATCTAACAACAAATCACATAGCATGACAAGAATTTCGAGCTTTCTTGAAAATCAACGGTTACCCGTGTACAACGACTAAGCCAACTTCAGCTATTCAGTGTTATCCATGCAAAATAATGGAGCAAGAATTAGTAAAGGGACACATCAATGATCACCATGCATAAAATAGCCGTCCGGTTGTATGACAAGATTTCTGACGGGCACCGGTGGTGACTGATATGAGCGAGTACTGTAAGGGCTACTGTAGGCTGGTGACGAATATCCGCCACTTCCATAGTAAGGCGATACACCACCGTCGAAGGTGGCTACAGCTTGCTGTAGAGCACGACGATTCAATCGTGGTGGTGCCGCGTTTCTGAAACAACCTCGCAGTACTGTTGACCGAGCACAGATCCGTTCTGCACTAGCGTGAACACCACAGTGGACGCTTAGAATGGGCAAACTGTCTCAAAAGTTGCGCATGAGATGATAGTAGTTAGCTAACTAAGTAGGTTGCCTTTATGATATCTAAGGAATCAATGCTTTTCATTACCACAAATATTTCGCGTTCCCAAGTTACAGTACTCCGCATCGAGCTTTGCTTTTTGAAACAGGGAGCTCTAACGAGCGGGGACAACCTTGCGTTGCGCAGTTTCAACTAGTGGGGTCGCATTTGAGTTTTTCTTCCTCGGAGGGAGAGATCGTATTTGAAGATGGTGAAGGTCATAAGGTTGGGAAGGGGGGGGGTCGTATTTTGGAAGTTGCGTAAGAAGTTTGGGCGGCGGATCCGATGCGTGGAGTCGTTCCTGGCGCGAGGTTTTCATGATTCTATATTAGCAGTGAGATTCGGAAAAAAGCAATGCAAAGGCTGAAAAAACATGAGGTCCAAGGCTTCACAGCTTCATCAAAGACGTTTTCTCAATTCGCAGTTTTGAAAGGAAAGTGCGGTGCGAAGATGGCTCGAACTGCGCATTCAGCAATCACAACGGTGTAAAAACAGCACAATCACCATGTGAGGGCTGATGTCATGGAATGGAAGGGGGGGTATAAGAATGTCGTATAGAGGGACTTGAGGACTGATGAATGTAGATGGAGGGGATCTTATCGAGCCCCCCCCCAACGGAAAGAGGCGATACAGTGAAATTTTTTGGAATCGAACAACGGGCGATTGAAAACCTATGTTTATGGATCTAACCACTAGCAAGCCCAATTTCTGAGTCATTACCTCAGGGTTAGACGGAAACGGACTGCCCAAAATAACACCTGCGTGTGAAGGTCGTCTCAACAACTCTATAAAAGTCCTCAAAGAGTAACATGATCATGCGCAACCCCTGAGACACTCTCCACCAACGAAAATGTACCTAGTCATGTTGCCGGGCGACGACGGAAAAAGATACGTCTCATACGATCCTCGTTCTCTGCGTAGGCGTTTCCTGCGGTGCGTAATCGTAGTCAGCGTCGACAAGTTGGGGAGCACAGATCGATCTCGTCGCATGTTCATTGACGTGCCTGGAGGTCGTCGATGACTCGGCGATTTGAATGAGTCCTCAGAGGAATCTGGCGATGACGGCGATAGCATACACGACACAACCTGACCGGCACAATAAAAACGTGCCTCTTGCTACGAAGCCTAACGCGTCAGCAGAAAGCTGTGCATGCCGATACAACCATTCGTCTGTCCCGAGAGTGAGTGCGAGCTAAATGTGAACACTCTGGTTAGACATTAGTCGAGTTAGAATGCTGAAAATTTTACAATTCAGAGTAACAAAAGACCGGGGTGACAGAATAGACGGTTAATAAGCACACTGCAAAACATTCCAGAATCGAAACAAGAATAGCCAGTTTGATGTCTTGAGAGTTGAATCTCGTAAGAGCAAGACAAATACTGAAAACTATAGAAGTGGGCCCATTTTTCTGGATCTAATCTTCTATTACAAAACGTCTTTAGCCTCAGTGATGAGAGGGGGTATAGAAATTCTCAAGCGACTTCACCCAAAGTGAGACCGAAAGCAGGTTTGATCTGATTGTTGCCCACGCAGAGTAGCAGAAGTGGAAGAGAGTATTCCAAATCGTTCTCCCTGATGCCACCATTTGAACCTCCCACATCAACATGGACCTATTTATTCATTTCCTCCTTGCCCATTGTGAGGTCACTCAAGCTATCATGTACTTTTCACAATTTTGAGGACGGAAGCTTTGAGGAGGTCCCCCAGTTATCCATGAAGGTGCTTATCGATTGCAGAGTTAGTGCCGTCGTGTCTTAGTATGAAGTTCGAATGAGAATTTCATCCTCAGAATACACCAGTTCATATTTGCTTGGTAACTATTTGACCTTTTGGTTTGGATCGCCATCACCCAAAACTAGTAGCACGTAGAGCAGCAGTCTAAAGTATACGCTGAAAAGGTTTTTGGGCATAACTGTTTTAGAAGAAGACTTAACTTAAAGGCACGGTGCACGACTACAACAAGATTTTGCCGTCATTATGAATCGGTGGTCCGAGACGAATCCTTCACAATAAAGAAAGGGAAAAAGGAAAATTGTGTTTTCTTGTGTAGTGTGTAAAATTGTGTAGTCCAAAATATAGGAAAGATGCTACTCGTCCAAATTTTCGACGTTGAACTACAACAAATATTGTTTCGATTCAAAGGGCAGAGCCATCAACAAATTTTTCGAATTCTTCCAAAAATCTTGCATCCAAATCTTTTTCGTCTAAACTCTCCGGCCCGGATACATATCTTGTAAAAAAAAAACCGTGTTAGCGAATACTTTCGACAGTTACTGTATGAAGCAACTAATATGGGACTATCCATGTACCCAAAATTAATTGTCTCATTTCATCGAGTATCAGTTTTACGCCATTCTGAGTTTCGCCGTGAAGGCCGGGCACGACGCTTCAATTGATAAGCTTGAAGGAAATGAATAACTATGTACCATCGGAGTGGTTGGAGCGGGGCAGCATCCTCATCGACTCAGGGCTCGCCGAGTCATATGAGACCAACACAGGATCGCCGATCACCATAGTCGTCGGCTCACGGTGGCGTGAATCCTTGCGCCGTCTGAAATGCACTGGAATTAGTTGTAGCCTCCACAATATACATAGTGCCAGGAGATTGAGCCGCGCGCAGTACTCAGCAAATGCGAGTCGAATCGGGACCTAACGATACACATACC